AGGAGGCTCCCAGGCTGAAGCAGGGATGTGCAGTCTCGGGGTGGGGCGTGTGGGGGCAGCGAGGCTGGTGCCTTTCTGACCAGAAGCCAGAGGGCAGGATGGGCCCATTAAGAGGCAAACACAACCTCTGCTTACCCAGAGCTCAGAAAAATAAAGGAAGAAGTCTGGCCTGGGAATGGAGGGTAGGCAGGGGATGCCTTGAGAAAATTAAATATTATTTTAAAATCAGAGCCAACAGGGCAGCAGGCAGAGTTGATTAAGGGCATTTAAAAATGCCTATTCCTGAGCACACAGCTGGTCCCTTTTGTGAGTGAAAAGTGATCTGTACTGTGGAGCCCCCCTTGAAAAGTGAAGTTGGGTTTGCCCTAGTGTGTGTGTATACACCTGGGTGTGCACACGTGAGCGAACACTCAGTGCCGCAGATGGTGGGAGGAAGGATTCCCAAGGAGAGGTTGTTGAAGTGGGGAAGAGTCAGCTCTGAGCTTGTTTTTGGAAGGTAGAAGCTATGGAAGCCCTGTGTGTGTTCTTGGCAGTTTGGTTCAATTCCACAAAGCATCTTCTGAGCACCTTCTAGATGCTGGGGATGAATCGACTGTGAAAAAGACAAAGTCTGTGTCCTCAGGAAACTTGCCGTCTTGCCAGTGAGAAGGATAGTTAAGTGAGTAATCGAGTGAATGCTGTGAAGTACAGGAGGAGAGAGAGGAGAGCGAGTCGCGAGTTCTGCCGTGGTGCCGCCGGGCATAACCAACCCTCAGAGAGTGGGGCATTTGAGCGAGCCTGGAGGGGGAGCGAATGTGCCGAGCAGGTGGGGTTGGAAGGGCTTTCCAGGTCAACCACTTGTCTTCCTGAATTCTCACTTCCTTCTTGTTTGAGGGAAGCTCTCAAACTCGATTCCAGGTTATTTCACAAAATTCCTGAAGCTGAGACTACCAAGAGCTGTGGCATAACCACCTGAGAATGTGGTGTGGTGACAGGTGAACCAGCCAACCTCGCCAACCTTGATTTTTGTCTCTTTCTTCTGCCTACCCTGTGCCACTTGGTCTTCATCTTGGAGTTCCCTCTCCGTTGAAATGAGGCCAAGATGTGTGGGGTTTTGTAATTTTTTTCTTGATCATTGTGATGTTTTTCCACTTGCTAGTTCACTGCTGTAGTTCCTACTCATAGCAGTGTCGTTGTTTGTTTTTTGCTAAACCTCTGTTCTTGTCTATCCAGAAAGTAGGCAAACCAAATGTTTGATTTTCCCACCATAAATCTGATCCTATTAATCCTCCGCTCAAAACCTGCAGTGTGGTTGGTGCCTACAGAATAAAAAGGGAGTTCCTGTCCAGTATCCTCCCAGTCTTCCCCTTCACTCCCTCTGTAACCCAGCTTCTCTGGACTCTTGATCTCTCTCCCATAAGCACCTTTGTATTCTTGCCTCTGTTCCTTTGCGTGTTTTTCTATATGCCTGGAATCTCCTCTCCCAACCCAGGCTCTTTGTCTTCCTGTTCTTCATGACTTAGGAAGTCTTAATGAAGCCTTCCTCATCTCCCCACCTTCAAAACCAGAAGTAGTATCTCCTTCTCCTTCAACTTCCGAGTCTGAGGGAAAAAAAAAATGTCTACCAACCAGAATTCTGTACCCTGCTAAACTATCAAACAAAAGCGAGTGGTAGACATTTGCAGATCAACAAGGACTGAATGACTTTGCCACTCATAGACCGTATCTGAATGAGGAGATACATTCCCAATTGCACATTCAGGGACCTGTGTTTCTAGCTTGAGATCAGCTACGGTGAGAGTATTTACACCGTAGAATCAGCAAATGCTACAAAATAGGACTTTTTTTTTTCTTGGCGAGCTAGCTACATGACATTTGTGTGTGTTACCATGCTCACACGTGTGTTTGCACAAATATTTGACACACTGTAAATGTTGGGCAGTTAAAATTGCACTCTTGGTCAGTAGTCCCTCCTCATTAGACTGTCTGGGAAAGCTGTGTGGTCAGAGTGGCTAGGAAGCTTGTCTCTCTTCACACTCTTGTCGCATCCTCCTCTCCTCTCAGGAGCTGGAATTGTATTACTTATGACTCTGCCCCTTCTTGCTTCTGTGTCCTTGGCAAAGTTGGGCACTTCCTGGAATAGGAGCTAATATGTTAATTGAGGATCTGTGCATCTGCAGTTGCTCAAAGTTCACTCTTTGAAGTAGAGAATCTTGGCTTGGCTACACAGACATCAGTTAATGGTCTCCTGTTTCTGTTCATAATTGCTTTTTTTTACAAATTGGTGAAATTCAGGCAGTAAGACTCCTGTGTCAGAAAGAGAACTCTGCAAACTGCTGCTCTCTGTGACTATACCTGCTGCAGGTTTTCCTCTGCTGATCACTGCCTCGTTCCAGTCCTCAGAGCCAAAGAAGACAGGTACCCGGGTTCTGTTGGGATAGTTGACCTTTCTTGGACAGAAGCCAAGGTCAGATGACTGGGAGCCCAAGAAGGAAAAGGCAAGCCAAGAGACAAGAAGCAAAATGTACAGGAGCTGGTAAACTGAGGCCCCCAAGCTGGCAGTGGAGGTGGAGAGACAGCATGTGGGGAGGTGGCACAGTGAAGTGGGGCTGGGAGGAGATGGGTGAGGAGCAGGTAGAGAGGTGAGAGGCAGGGCTCTCGAGCAGGTCTACCAATCTTGTGGTCCTTCCACTGAGCTCTGCTTTCCTTCCATCTGAGCTGGCTCTGGCAGAGCTTCAAATGCTGGATGCGGGCAGGGAACTGTTGTGGCTGTAAGAGAAAGTCGTAGGGTCTTTCCTGTCTTTTGGCAGGAAAAGGATGCCTTCTAGCCTGAGTGTTGCTTTTACTCCATGTTGTCACTCAGTGGCCATTGCCTGTCTTCCTAAGATCACTCATGTGGAAGTGCCTACCACAATGCTTGGGACAGAAGGGGGTTAAGGGACATGACACAGTCATTAGATGATCTCCTGGCAGAGTTTAAAATGACCTGTGTAACTACTTCATGCTCATATCGGTTACTCAGAAAGTATACAGGAATGTATTGCTTAAGGGTGAATTATCATTTTTTGGACAGTCTGTGCCCTTTTAGCTTGAGTCCTTCCCTTAGTCTCTTAGCCTTCCAAAACAAGTCACTTTTTCTTATTCCTTTTTAACTTTTATTGATTTATTTCATTTGTTCATTTTATGCCCCTAGATGACCCCTTTGGGAACCAATTTGTTGGAGAAACCACTGACAGGAGGCCTTGTTGGAGGGGGGCACCTGTGTGTGGTGGATGCAGTGAACCTAGGAGAGACCACAGGGAGAGTGAAACGATGTCCCAGATTATCAATCGGATTTATCTTACTGTACCAAATTGGTTTCTCTTCTTAATCAGTAACTTTTTAGCAAAATTCTGGCAATTACACTGCTTTTGAAGGAGAATGTCTGTTTGAAACAATAAAAACTCCCTTTGGGGTGGAGCTGGTTTGGGGCCAGAGGCCCAGTGACACAGGGAGCCTGGTGACATCCCTCCTCCAGTGTAATTATTCTTGGGGCTGTGCACGTACACGGGGGGGCTGGTGTATATCAGCACACACACCGTGCAGAATGTTGTTTTGCTTAGAGAAAAGCATAAGCGAGTTACACACTCAACTTGAGTGTGTCACTTTTACTTGAAGACAGCAGTGAGACACTGAAGGAACTTTTTCCTGTCCATGGGCTCAGGGACTGGAGGCCCTGAGCTGGTTTAGTTGTGACCGGCTTGCTAGAAGGATCTGCTGTCAGGAGGTCACCTCCCCCAAAGAGAGAGCAGCTTTGCCCTTCTGAGAACCCACCACAGAGGGCTGGGAACCTCATGAGCGGTCATCAGAGGGCTCTCGTATTCTGCTGGCTGGTTTAGAGAGAGGCCAAAGCCCCAGCATCATTTCCTCACACAATGATGCCAGGATGGGCTGGGGTATCAACCTCACAGAGGAGAAGAATGTCTGCGACTTATACGGTCATGTTTTGGAGAAGATTCATACCATGCACACCAGGAGTTAAGCATGGGAAGAGGGGAAGAAAGGAGAAAGGGAAATTTTTAGTCTTCAAAAGTATAATTTAAAGAAAGTTCTGCTTTTCTTGTTTTTTAACTGATAAAGCCTCCTCTGGCCCTTGGCTCATTGTGATGTCTCTGGTCCTCTGAGTTCTGATGCTTGCTGAAGGTGTTCCACCCATGGACAGGGGCCCACACAGTGTGTTGGATGCAGGATAAGCTTCCAAGTAGTGGCAAACCAACTGCAGCCTCTTAGAGAAAAACAAAATTGGATCCATGGAGGTGAGGCCAAGACCTTCAGTCCAGTTGTCTAGAATAAAGTCATTTTTAGAAATCCAAGTAATTTAGACAGACAAATATTTGCTCGATGTTTGCTGCCAAAGGCAGTTAGATGCTGTTGGCCAATGAACACCTAAGCTCCTTCCTGGAGTCCGGGGTCAGGTTAGCCTCTGCGGTCATGGAGGAGACACAACTGAGATGAGTAACTTATTCATGGTGAATGTGGGTAAGAGTAAGCCATTTATTCTTCATATTAAAACAGGAAGATAAGAAGAATATCTAAATGTAGGAACAGCTCTGACACCATAGAAATGCTTTAGCTTCCACATATGTAAGAAATTTTTACTCTCTTTTGAAGTTTCAGAATAATAGCCTCGCGTGGTGCCCACACATAGTGGGTGCTCAGTAAATAATTATTGAATTGAATTTTCTCCTGTAAAACATACTTATTGTAAAAATCCATGCACATAAGTAAAAACAACCCGAAATCCCACCTCTTAGCATTTGGGGATACATCCTCCCAGATGCTTTCAATGCATATAAATGTATATTCTTTTACAAACAGGATTTGTACTGGACGTGATGTTTTGTAACCTGTCTCCATGTCAATATAAATTGCATCCTTTTATTTAGCATCTGCCAGGTGGCACAGTGTAATACCTGTGAACAGAGGATTTGTCAGTTTGTGTGGTTTGACTTGACCCATCTCACATGCTCTCCTTCCTTTAGCAGGTTTCTTCCGCGGAGGTACGCATCGGGCCCATGAGACTGACACAGGATCCTATTCAGGTAGGCCTCCATCGCTCAGGAGGGGCTTCGTTTTCAGAGCCTGTGGTTATGTGACCCCCTCTGAGAGGCTCTTCTGGGGCTACGCATTTCGCCATCGTTGCCCCCACATACATGCCTGTACCCACATGCATAATGTATCTGTTTGTCTCTGTATGTAAATGCTTGTTTTTAATGTTGGACTTGAGGACTCAAATTGTTTTCCCGAAGACTTGAACATTGCCCTGTGTTGCGCATAACAGGTAGATTGCCTGGTGGATGGTGAGGGAGAACAATTCTTCCACCAAAAATCTAGTCTGTTCCACACCCTGCTCCACGCCCCGTGTGTGGTGAAGGGCAGGGCTTTGCCAGCAGCCACAGCTGGGTGTGAATCCTGCTCTGCTTGAGTCAGCTGCGGGACCTTGTCTGTGTTGCTTCACCTCTCCGCCCAGCGCCCCGTCTGTGAAATAGAGATGACAATGCCTCTCTCGCTGGGAGTTATGAGTCAGATGAAATGACATGAGTGCCTAGGACACTGCCTGGCAGTGGAAGGCACTCAGTAAGTGATGACTGTTGTTGTTGGTTGGGAAGAGAAGCTGACACAAGACCCGTGGGACTTGAGCCAAGCAGCCTACTGGGCTCTCAAACCCGGAGGGAACTGGCTCCAGGGAGAGAAGGCCCAGCACCTGCAGCATTGACCTCGTTCTAACAACGACAGCAACTGTGTACCCCCTGCAGCTCCTCCAGCTTCCTATGCCGCCTACATAGAAACGTGTGTGAGAGGGGCTTGTACCCTTTTAAGTAGTTATTAACTCCCCGTCTGCATATACATTATTCAGGTAGACCTAAAGAAGTGAGCGGCCTCCTTGTAAAAACTATAGCTTGTTAGCACCTGGGAGCCTGTCCTCTACTTGGGATAAGTAAAGATGCAGAAAAGATGTAAACAAACAAACCCACATGTAGAAGAAAGTGAAAAACCAACCAAGAAAATGTACTGTTTGATTTATGAGCAAATGGAAAAGAAAATAATGTTTTACCGTTGCTTAGAAAAGGAAGTACAAATCTAGGGGAAAGAAAAAAACAAAAGGAAGAGATTCAAGCTTGGGAAAATTTAATGAAAACAAATTTAGGAGCAGAGAGAGAGAAATTTACTAAAATAAACATAAGCCACAATTATTTGTATAGAATACAAACAAGTGGAAAATTCCAGTAATCATTCTGGGAGCATGTACTTCGTACTCTAATTTGAATAAAGGCAATGACAAAGAATCTGATATCAGGGGTTATTCCCAAAGCAATTTCTAAAATATTTTTGAGATTAGTGTAGTTTTAGGTCAGTTAGTTTAATTTACCTTCATTTTTGCCCTGTGCTGTACTGGCAACGAATGCTCATGATAAGGATGTCTCATTATTTTAAAAATGTAATCTTTCAAATTGTAAAATATTTCAAATACACATAAAGGTATATGTGTATACCCATACCCACTTTTACCAAATATTAACAGTATGCTGTATTTGTTTCAGAGAAGTTTTTTCAGAAACAAAAGATTACAGCAAAGCCCTTAATTTATTCCTTTACCCCCTTCCTCTCCTTAAAAGTAATCACTATTCTGAGATTGATTATGATACATATTTGTGTATTTATTCTACATATATATTTATTCATAATATTTACTCTTGTTTTGAATGTTTTTAAGCTTTATTTGAAAGGTGTTGTGCTGTAGGCATCATTCTGAAATTTGTTTTTCTTTTTTCATTCAACATTTGGTGTCATCTAAGAATCCACTGGCTAATTTAAGGTCACAAAACTTTACTCTTTCTTCTAAGAGTTTATAGTTTCAGCTCTATGATCCATTTTGAGTTAATTTTTGTATATGGTGTGAGGTAGGGCTTCATTCTTTTGTGTCTAGATATCTAATTGTCCCAGCAGCCTTTGTTAAAAGGGATATCTTTCCCCATTGAATTGTCTTGGCACCTTTGTCAAAAATCAACTGACTGTAATTGTGAGGATTCATTTCTGGATTCTCAATTCTATTCCATTGATTTATGTCTGTCTTATGCCAGTACCGCACTGTCTTGATAACTGTAGCTTTGAAGTGTGAGTCCCCCAACTTGCTTACTTTTTAAGATTGTTTTGGCTATCTGGATCCCTTGTATCCTTATATGAATCTTAGGACCAGCTTGTAAATTTTGGGGCTGGGGGGCAGATGGGATTTTGATATTGATTGCAATGAATCTGTAGATCAATTTTGGGAGTATTACTGTGTTAACAATTTTGTCTTTCAATCCATTAACGTAAGATGTCTTTCCATTTATTTAGACTTCCTTTAACTTTTCAACAATGTTTTATAGATTTCAGTGTATGTCTCATTTTTTTGTTAAACTTATTCCTGAAATATTTTCTTCTTTTTGATGCTATGGTAAATAGAATTGTTTCCTTAATTTCATTTTGGGGTCATTCGTTGTTAGTATATAGAAATACAATTTACTTTTGTATATTGATTTTGTATCCTGCAACCTTGCTGAATTCATTTATTAGCTCTTAAAGTTTTTTGTAGATTCCTTAGGATTTTCTATATACAAGATCGTGTCATTACTACTTCCTTTCCAATCTGAATATCTTTTATTTTTTGCCTAATTATCCTGCTAGAACCACCAAAACAATAGTGTGTTTAGTTTTATAAGATACTTCCAGATCTTTTCTCAAAGTGGTTGTATCATTTTACACTCCTACAAGCAATGTGAGAGTTCTGGTTATTCTAAATCCTTGGTGATATATGATGTTTCAGGCTTTTAATTTTAGCTAATTTAGTGGGTGAGTAGTACTATCTTATGGTGATTTAGATTTGCATTTCTCCATGGTTGATAATATTGAGCACTTTTTCATTTGCTTGTTGGCCATTCCTCTATCTTCTTATGTGAATGTTTAGTTAAGTCTTCTGCCTATTTTTAATTAGGTTGACTTTTAAAAAGTTGCATTGTCAGACTTCCTTATATATTCATGCTACAAGTCCTTTGTCAGATTTTGAAAATATTTTCACACAATCTGTGGCTCTTCTATTCATTTTCATAACTCTGGCTTTTGATGAGAGAAAATTTTAATTTTGATATACTCTAATTTATCACTTTTATGATTGTTGCTTTCTGTGTTCTAAGAATCTTTACCTATTCCCAGGTTGAGAAGATAATTTCTTATGTTTTCTTCTAGAAACTTTATTGTTTTTAACTTTTACCCTTAGATCTATAATCTATCACAAGTTCGTTGTTGTGTATGGTGTGATGTGGAGGTCAAGGCCCATTTTTATTTTCCTGTATTGATGTCCACTTGTTCCAGCTCCACTTGTTTAAAAGTCTGTATGTTCCTTCATCTATTGAATTGCTTTGATGCCTTTGGTACTGATTCTTTGATATTTGTTGCAACTTACTTGGTGACCAATAATGTAACCATACAGTACCTTCAATAATGTAGTATTGTAATTTTCCACAAAAAGGTTTTATAAAAGATGTGTATCTGTTTGTTGAATACAGGGTTCTATATACAAGAATGAGTTCAACTTTATTAATGATGCTATTCAAACCATCTCTCTCTTAATTTTTTGACTATGTGATCGATCAGTTTCTTTTGCAATAGATATGTCAATATCATCAATATTAATATTTGCTGATATTTTGAGTCTGGGGTGTTAATGTATAACCAAGTTCTTAATTGTTGTATAGTCTTTCATTATGTAGTGTCTCTCTTTAAACTTTTGCCTTAAATTCTGTTTTATCTGTTGGTAATATTGCCAGACCAACTTTCTTTGGTTAACATTTTCCTGGTAAATCTTTTTCTGCCTATTCATTTTCAGTTTTCTTTATAACTTTATTATTAAATATTCTCCTTGTAAGCAGCACCTAGCTTCATTTTTCTGAAACCTATTCTGATAATCTGACTTCTTAATAAGTGAGTTCAATCTGATTATTGAGTGTGATTACTGATATGATTAGTCTTATTTTGTGTTTTCTATTTTATTACTTTTTCCTGCTTTTTGTCAAATTGACACAGTTTTCAGAATTATCTTTTATTTTCTCTATTTTAGAAGCTGTAGGTGTGCTTCTATTTCTTTTAGTCGTTATCCTTAAATTATTTTTTAATATGCTTGCGTAGCAGGCAAATTTTATAACAAAATCTTAATATATGGTATTTCTTTCCTCTCAAACATGATATTGTCCTTTGCAGAATTTAAATATCCCTTAACAGCCCTACTCCCTCATCACTGAAAAACAATTATCTGTGATTTTGGATTTATTTCATTTGGTATATTAAAACAACAATAGTTTTAATTTGTACTGGTAAGCTATGAAATATTATAATGATATGAATACCGGGAACCCACCACCCAGCGCAAGAGGTGGAATATTTCCAGTGCTACGTGTACCCCACCTGGTTCCTGCCACGTGACTCTGACCCAAATGACAGCAGATGCAAGTAGTAGTCAAGAGTCTTTCTCTGAGTGAGGGACAGGATAATTAAGAGACTCTTTTATAAAAGATAAGAGGCTCAACTTAGAACTAAGGATGCCTTTACTACTGGGTCTCATTCAGGCGTAGAGTTTGACTCATTGATCCATCCAGTAAGGATTTGTGGATACCTGTATGTTCAAGGCTCCTCGCTGGGTGGTACGGGGGGAGCAGGGACTGCGCGATGCTCCCTGACCACCCAGAGAGGTCTGGTCCGGCAGTTTTATTGTTTATAACATTCTAACTTGAGGGGCATTGATATTCAGTCTAGTGTTTCTGTGCTTCTAATAACACTGCAGCTGTCTTAGAAAAATCAACTATGTCCTAGTGCCTTAGTTTTTGTTTTATTTATTTTTTCTTAGAGAAAAATATCTATTGTTACTTTAGTGACATGCTGAAACTGTTGATTAGCTACATCAGCTATAGCCCTTAGGGCTTGGGAGGAACTTCATTGAAGAATATTTCAGGATGTGGTTGCTTTTGAGAGTGCTTTCTGAGTTCATCAGGGGGAATTTGCTCCCACA